GACAGCGTGTTCCAGTTCCTGCCAATATCCAGCAACTTCGCACAGCCATTGAAGAGGAGTGGACTAACATTCCACAGGCTTTTTTCAACAACCTGATCAACTCTATGCGAAGGAGATGTGTTGCACTGCGTGAGGCAAATGGTGGTCACAGCAGATACTGACTGGTTTTCGGACCCCCCTGGACCCCCTAATACAGTAAAACTGCACATTTTAGAGTGGCCTTTTATTGTGGCCAGCCTAAGGCACACCTGTGCAATAATCATACTGTCTAATCAGCATCTTAATATGCCACACCTGTGAGGTGGATGGATTATTTCGGCAAAGGAGAAGTGCTCACTAACACAGATTAGACAGATTTGTGAACAATATTTGAGAGAAATAGACCTTTTGTATACATAGAAAAAGTTTTAGATCTTTGAGTTCAGCTCATGAAAAATGGGGGCAAAAACAAAAGTGTTGCGTTTATAATTTTGTTCAGTGTGAATACATAGTTATTTTTTATTTATTTATTTTTGTAGACAGGCACTGTGCTCATAATATCTCACCTTGTCATGACTGTGCTCCGCCCTGGTTCCTGTTTGGACAATAATAACAAACTCTTAATTTAGCTAATTAAAATAAAATGCATACCTTATATTCAAAAGATTTTTTGCACAATAAATGTTAATATTTTCATTTTGTAAGATCAGCTGTAATACTTGCCATTTTGTCTTGATCTGCGGCAACAGTAAATCACACCAGCAATTATAGCCAGCAACAGAACAACAGCAGCAACAACACTGATAATAGCAGCCAAAGACAGACCTGAATCTGGAACAGATAAATCATTATTAATAAAGTCATTATTATCAGGGGCGCCGTAACGGGGGGAAGGTTAGGACGATTCTAAGGGCCCACCAAGGGAGAGGGGGCCCGTAACGCGATATTTACTGAGGGGGACTCTAACCACCCCCCCACCCCTGCTGTTCACCCCTGCTGTTAATAGAGAATGACTGATAATCAACTTTACCAATATTTTTTGACATTTGCTGATTTGTGTAAAACGTTGTATGACATTGCACCACAGAAACTGCAGCTAAAACAGTGACTCATAAGATAACTGACTAAAGCCGCTTTTTGTACGACTCTCCTCGGCTCGCTTTACTTTAGCTCGGTTTGCTTTTCCACTACATTCTAGTACCACTTCAAAGTGGGTGGGATTATAGGCTGATCGTTATGGCTGCAACACCACCTCATCTACTGACCATGATACAGCCATTTCTTTTTTCAAGTTGCGTGCGATGGTCATTTTAAAAAGTTGTGCGAACAAATGATACTGCGCTGGCTGTTGCTGACTGTTTAAATCTAGCGGGTTTGATGTCTCGTGTCGCAAATCCAATGATGCTGATAGGGACGATTCTCTCTGACCAATCAGTGGCTACGTTTACATGCACAATTTTTGGTTCAATCGGACTGAATTAATTCCGATTGATGAATCTGAATGTAGTGTTTACATGAACACTAAAGAAAGTGATCGGGTTGATGTACGTGTTTATATGTCACAAGCTTCAAATAGGAATTTATTTTTTTTTACATGCGCACACTGCACATTTATAGATTTTCTCACTGTTTGCACATAATAACCACTCTCCTACATTGTTTATTTATTTGTTTTTAACAGCAGAATTAATATTTATTAATTTATGGATAAATATACATATAAACCGCTGTGCCGTGTTGCTCATATTTATCACACAGTAAAAATGCCCCTCCCCGCGCCCAAAGCGGGTTGCCTGTGGATGAGAATCCAAAACAAGGACTAGTGGGAGGTTGTCCTGCTCCACTTCACAGTTGTCGAGTGAAATAAGAGTTTTATAATGACAGGACACGCATTTATACAACACTTTATTCAAAAGGAAGAACCGCTCGTTCTGCGCGTCATACGTCATTATGCTATTTCTGCGTCATTGCACATGCGCAGTTCTTTCAGTTTCGGGGTTCAATCCGATCGAGTGTTTACATGCACTCTCAATCGTATTAGAAAAGGAATAAACCACCCCCTTCAATCTGATCGAAATTTCATTCCGATCAAGCTCAATCAGATCGATTAATGCCGAGTTCACTGCACAATTTTAGGCAGATTTTTCACTCGCCGACAGGTTTTACGAAATCACAATAAGTGATATTTAGGCCCTGGAATGTGAATTGTACCAGGAGAACCCCACCAAAAAAATTTGTATTTTACCCCTCGAACGTGATTTTTACTGGGGGACCCTCTCAAAAGCAACTGGGCTATTTTCAGGCTAGTTTTGAGTAGTAATTGGGCGGGTTTTTTAGCGAAAACCTGGCAACCCTGCACCAGACAGAGCTGTCGGCGATTCTTCCTATTGTAAAGTCATGCAGTGTGTAACCTCCTGTCGTCGTTCCATCGTGCAGTGTGAACACAGCAACAACTGAATGCTACCCCAGATAGTCGTTCAGTGTGAAACCAACAGTATGCGATGTGCTTTTTTTTTCGAAAATCGTGCAGTGTGAACTCGGCATAAGGTGTTTACATGAAGATTTTTCAGTCCGATTGAGCCGTCAATCCGATTACAAATGGATTATTTGGTTGCATGTAAACATAGCCATTGATTTTAGTATTGGTACGGCTCACTTGGAACCTCAACTGAGGAAGTACCAGGTACTGTACACAGTGGAAACCCCTCCAAAAGTTAACCGTATCGAGCATAACATGCAGTGGAAAAACGCCAAACATTGTGCTTTTTTCTTGATGTAGTATTGAGCACTCTGGTTAAGCAGGGTGGGGGGAGGAACTATGGGTTATTTAGATACGTACACACACGGAACAAATTAAGTGATGCACAGAACAATGCAATGTGGTGAGAACGCCACACATAAATTGTGATAGGGTGAGTGAAATTGTAATTTGGGGGGCTTTTTGTGTGACAACGGGAATATTTTGCATTGGTTTAAATATGTGTGTTCATAGATTTGGTGTGCGCCTCGAGAACCTCAGCGACCAGAGTGGCTAAATTTGAATATTGCTCTGTTAACAGGTACGAAGTGTATTTCAAGTTATTTTTGAATAATTTAAATGTTTTTTATGTGATTTAACTTTGACAGGAATATTGTATATGGGTTTAAATATGTATATTTGTAGAGTTGGTGTGCTCCCTGAGAACCTCAACGACCAGAGTGGTAAGAATTGAATATTGCTCTGCTAACAGGTACAAAGTGTATTTGAAGTTATGTTTGAAGGATTATTGAAAAGGAATTGATTTAGATGTGATTTGACTTTGTTAATGTTTGTATTTTGTGTGTTTTTGGGACAGATTGCCATGGTTTTGATTTAATTTGTCTCTTTCTTTTGAGTTTGTTTTGTTTATTTTGAATTGATTTGAGTTTTGTATTTTTTGGTTTGAGTGATTGCTGGCAGTAATTTGTGTGTCATATGTGGGGGACCTTATAGTGAGTGTTTGTACCCACACAACATTATTATTAACTATACACTTCAAAATCTTACAACTGTAGCGTCTGGACCACTCAAACACACAATATATATTTTGTTAGCTAGATTTCACAAATACTCTGTAACCCCCCCTCAGTTAACAAGCCAGACGAGGACCCATGAACCCTTCCCCCCGGAATGCGTAACACCCCAGGAGGCCGAAACAGGCCCCTTTGTTGCATGGCAACCAACGCTGATATCACTGGGTTTATTGGCCAAAAGTATCTAAAGCAAGAAAGTTATTTCCCTTAACCAGGAAATTAACGTTCTTAGAATTGACAAGACAGTTGACCCTGAGTGGTCAGCTAAATATCTACAGCGGATCTAAAATATGAATAGTTAATTATAACTAGTTATGGTTAATTATTCATATTTCCTGTTGTGAGCTAAATTCGCTACACAAGTAATAGTGTGACATAAATATGAAAACTGTCTGTTGCTTTAATGTACATGAGAAGATGATGGAGATGATCAACAATAAAACAAAAAAATAATAATAATAAATTACTCACCAGTGACATTAACACTGAATTTCCTGATGATGCTGAATCTGCTGCTGTTGGTTCCTAGTGTATATTCTCCAGAGTCTTGGATGTTGATGTTCATGATGGTCAGAGATCCAGTCTGATGATCCAGCTTCAGTCTGTCTCTGAATCTCTCATCACACTGTTCATCTGTACAGATCTTACTCTGATCTCCAGTGATTTCAGCCATGAGAATGTCATTAAAATACCACGTCATCAAATAATTTTGGTTTTTAATTTCACCAGGATGTAAAGTGACAGAATCTCCCTCCTTTCTGTTCATTTCATCTCGTTCATTAGCAAGAACATCTGAAACACAAACCAACAGCTGCTGGAGGATCTTTCTGGGAGGATCTTTCTCTCACATAACAACCCCCCGTCCCCTCTGGGGACCCAGAAATAGAGGAATTGCTCTTTGTCAAGAATTTGGGTACCACCGACCGAGACGTCAGTGGTGGAAAAAGATGAAAAGATTCTCCACCCGGCCTAGCCCAGGGGGTAGTGCAGCCTGATGTGTGCAACCCACTCGACACGGGTAACCACCACCGCTGAAGCGCCGTCCGCCAACACGAAGAGCTCTCTAAGAGCGCTGAACTCGTTCAGTCTTCTTCTCTCAGTAGAGTAGTCAGGAGCAGAACGATGTGATCGCTCAGCTCCGAAGCGAAAAGCTGAATATGCGCTGCATCTGCTGCCTACTTATACTCACGCTGTGATCAGCAGCAGCTGGATGCAATAATCGCATGCCAATGTGCATTGGCTCGTTTAGTTTACGCTCGAAGTAGATTGGTCCCTGTAAGCGAGATCCCAATTTCGTCGGTCATCCGACGTGACGTCGAGAGTGACCGACTGAAAGGGAACTGTAGATTTGAAAACAATAAAACATGCTATCTTGACTTTTGTCTTTTTATTTATTTATCCACATTTTGTGAAAATATTTTACATCAAATCCTCTGCATTTTGGATTGCTGGTGAACTAAAAATCAGTATGAAATAATGGATGCATTTAAACAGATGATAATAGAAGGTGATCAGAGATGATATGATGAGAAACTATCATTTACACAGAACAAAACTAGCTGATAAAACTCACCAACGGAAAAAAAACTAAATGATTTAAATCAAATTGAACTAAATTAATGTTACAAATTCTGCTTCTGTAAATGTGTTTTTGAAGAAATTATGTATACGTGAATTACTATACAGATATAACAAAAAAACACCTCTGAATGTCACTGCAAAACATCACTAAACACATTAATGATGTGATGTACAAGACTTGATTTCAAACACAATGACTCACCCTGAACAGAAACACTGAAGATCTTTTCACTGTCACTGTTGCTGTTGATTATCTTCAGTTTATACTCTCCATCATCTGTGGTTCTGGTGTTTGTGATGGTCAGAGATCCAGTTTGATGATCCAGCTTCAGTCTGTCTCTGAATCTCTCTTTACACTGATCATCTGTACAGATCTTACTCTGACTGCCAATGATTTGAGCGATGCGAATGGCATTAAAATACCATATAATCTTTTCTTGTTGGTTTGTTTTAACACCAGTGTGAAGACTGACTAAATCTCCCTCCATCACAAACACTGGCTCTCTGTCTACACCAAAACTAGAAGCACCTAAAGAAGAAATGTACAAATAATTATAAGCCAAATTATAAGAAAAGAATTCAGCAGTCAATGGAAAGTGTACATTTTTATTTTTTCTACAGATCGTATAGAATGTGGGTACAGAAATCTGTCTAGATGCATAATGTAACATGCAAACAAACAGCAGAAGAACATGGTCGATTCACACATTCACTCATCAGACAGACATGAGGAGTTACTGTCCCCCACCTTCTCCCTGCTGAACCATTGACGTCGCTATATAGGCCTAAATATTCCACTCAGCTCCCCTAAAAAATGTGATTAGCTCCATAAACTGTACACGGATTCGTGATTGCCTTAGCCCCCCCGTAATTTTTCACATGAAAACGACGACAGATTTCGGCTCCTCCCGTACATTTATCGCGCTTTCAATCCGCAGACCGCGGCAGCGCAGAGCGAGAAACAGAGGACAAGGTGTGTTTATCGATCGGTTGTTATAATATCTGCATCCGTGCTGTTCTTTGTCATAAAATATCATGGGGGAGCTGGAGCAATCGGTTTACTAAGTTTTCGCTGCATGCGTTCACTCCTCATGACACCACAGCAATTCCTCCAGTGAAAATGTAGCCCTTAACACGAACGCATACTTTATAAAACGATCATGTTTCTATTTTCATTTGAAGGTTTGTATAACTTGAGCTAAAGAAAGAGGTCTGTACAGTAAACAGGTGTGTGTGGGTGTGTGATCACACACAAGCTTCAGTCTGGATTTTATTTGTTATAACCATCTATGCAATACAGGGGAATACTGCAACAAGTTTAGTATACCACCCTTCACTATTAGTCAAACATTTTTTTTTATTATAATGTTTTATTATTATACCCTCACTGGGGCTGAGCCCCCCCCCTAAAATGAAAATTTCGAAGCGAAAGTGAAAGTATCCTGATTCATACACTTTTCTGCTCATAAGTTTAATTGCAAGTAGCAGAGATGCGGCTTACAATGGCCACGTACAAACACACACTGACAAATGCATTTCTATCAAATATAAAGCGATTAGAGCTGATACTAAACAAAACGACGTCACTTTCGGTTTTTAGCCTATCGTCGGCTGAATGAGAAACTCTTACCATAGTCGAGTAAACACCAGAGCAAGGGCAAACTAAACAGAGGCCTGATTTTCACCATTTTCTTTTCCTTAAAAAAAAATATCAATGCAGATTTAGATTTTTGGGCTTTTCTCTGCCTCGACGTCGACGTAGATGAAGAATATAGGCGGCTGCAATGAGGGGAGGAGTGAAAAAGGCTAAGTGCGGTCAAAAACTGGTCAGGAACACTGCTTCTCTCTAGCCAATGGCGTAGGTTTGCTTTTGCCATTGAACAATGTGTTGATATTTCAGCTAACAGTTTGCTTTAATTGTACATAGTTAAATACTGTACGCGGCGACTCTGGACGCTGTTCAAAATCCTGCCTCACCAGAGCGCTACTCGCATAGTTTCCCATAAAATCGCATTATATATGTCCCAAATTATGTACATCATAACTTCATCCTAGGCTGGAAGATTGTGCATCTTTCAGCACAACGTTGTCAAACACCGTATTTTAAACTCGTCAACGCAACTTTGTTAATTCCTGAAGTGGACTTTTCTATGAACCGGTTTGGACTGCTGTCTTGAACTGGGTGCTATACCTGTAACTTGTCCTGGCGCTGTGCTGCGCTTCTCGTCCGGTGTGCGAATACCTTGGGTTGTGGGGCCCTAGGCAAGGCAAGGCAAGATAATGAAAAGAGTCCCCACTAGTGTACAAATTGTCATAGCAATTTAACGAGTAAAGAGAAAGCACATAAAATGGCAATTTCAATAATTAAGCATAAATGTGCATTAAGTGTAACATCCAACATAAACAGATAAAAAGAACTGAAGTGCAAGTGAGCTTGAAAAACTGAAAATAAATAGATATACATGAAACACAAATAAATAAAATGAAATAAAATATAAATGAATTATATACAAAAACTAAATAAAATTAACAGAGCATAAACAAAATAAACATCAGTGTTGAGTTCTGCATTCATTGATTATAACGTAACTTTGTGAGATCATGATGAACTAAAGTGAGTGACAGATTTTTAGTGATTATAAAGGAACACTCTTTGCACCATAGCAATGAATAGCACAAAAATAAGGTTAGATCACCCTCACTAATTTTAGAAGCAACCTCAGTGATTTGATTCTGGAGCCAGGTCTGTAATTAGTTAAGGTAACACGCTGAAATGGCTAAATTTTCTCTTATATAACAAGTCTGTCTGTGAATGTGGGCATCATTGCATTTATAAAACAAATACTAATACTACAGCAATACATATTATGTATAGCAGTCAGATCATCCTTTTTTTCGCTCCATAAAGATATTGTTTGGATTCCATTTCTACCACAATTTCCCTTTAATCTCTCGATCATTCTTTCAATTCCAAAATCTGAACCAACAAAATCTGCACACAAAATCTGAACTGTAACTAAAGTTTTCAGATAAACTTTTTCTTTATTTGCCAGAAATGATAAAGAAGACTAAGTTTGCTGTGCCTGTTTGTAGATCTGCACAATTTGGGCAAAACATTTTTGTTTTTATATGTCAATATGACTACTAATAATTCTGATAATAGTTATAACTAAATAAAAACATTAAACAAAGTAATATTGATAATGATTATTATTAATTTATTTTACAGAAAACTGCAGCATGACCTGTTAACATGCAGGAGGCCTATAACTAGCCTATAACTGTTTAGAAAGGTCTAAGGATTTATTATAAATGATTATGATAATTTCTTAATTTTTGTCAGAAAATGCATGCACACTGAGAGAGAGAAAAACTCCTCTAAACTGGAGAAAAACTTAGAGAAGTATTTTCCCTATTTTTACCCAAAATAAGGTGTATGTAGCTGTTTCATTCATACTGGTAGCCGGAGGGCGGCCCGTGCAGTACAACCATAAGTGAAAAAAACACAAAATGCTCACAAATACTCACAAAAATCATTTGGAGGAAATCCCTAATAGACCAAGACAAATGTTATAGCTGCAGTAGCTGGATAAAACGCAGATAGGACATTTTAACTGATGAAGAATGAAGACAATAAATACGATTGTGACTAAATGGTGTATCACTGTTCTTCAAGCCATCTCGGGTATTTTTTATATGCAGAATGTATATTTATAATGCAATGCTAATCGACATAGCCTTTATCACTGTATAGAATATTATAAAATGATTTTGCCTCATTCTGTGATTCCACGTCAGATCACAAAAGAAAGTTATTTCTAACACTGGACTGATGTAATGAAATTTATTTGGAGCAAAAACGTCATTAAATGTTTTTAAACGCACAGAAAATAATGAGAAAGAACCAAATTGCCTATCACAGCTATGCTGATGATACCCAGATTTACCTAGCCTTATCTCCAAATGACTACAGCCCCATTGACTCCCTCTGCCAATGCATTGATGAAATTAACAGTTGGATGTGCCAGAACTTTCTTCAGTTAAACAAGGAAAAAACTGAAGTCATTGCATTTGGAAACAAAGATTAAGTTCTCAAGATGAATGCATACCTTGATTCAAGGGGCCAAACAACTAAAAATCAAGTCAGGAATCTTGGTGAGATTCTGTTTCAGTAGTCATGTCAAAGCAGTAATCAAATCAGCATACTATCATCTCAAAAACATTGCAAGAACTAGATGTTTTGTTTCCAGTCAAGACTTGGAGAAACTTGTTCATGCCTTTATCACCAGCATGGTGGACTATTGTAATGGTCTCCTCACCGGCCTTCCCAAGAAGACCATTAGACAGCTGCAGCTCATCCAGAACGCTGCTGCCAGAATGTTAACTAGAACCAGAAAATCTGAGCATATCACACCAGTCCTCAGGTCCTTACACTGGCTTCCATTTATACGTTTAGGATTGATTTTAAAGTACTTTTACTCGTTTCTAAATCACTCAATGGCCTAGGACCTAAATACATAGCAGATATGTTCACTGAATATAAACCTAACAGACCACTCAGATCAGGGGCATAGCCATCATTTCAGAAGTGAGGGGGACAGAAATTACAATATAACATTTCTGTAATCTATATAACCTACCAGTCAACAGTGTTTGAACAGTAAGATTTTTAATGTTTTATAAAGAAGTCTCTTCTGCTCACCAAGCCTGCATTTATTTGATCCAAAGTACAGCAAAAGCAGTAATGTGAAATATTTTTACTATTTAAAATAACTACTTTCTATTTGAATATATTTTCAAATGATTGCTGAGAGCAAAGCTGAATTTCCAGCATCATTACCCCAGTCTTCATTGTCACATCCTTCAGAAATCATTATAATATGCTGATTTGCTGCTCAAGAAACCTTTTTTAATTATTATTATCAATATTTAAAACAGTTGAGTACATTTTTTCAGGATTCTTTGATGAATAGAAGGATCCAAAGATCAGCATTTATGTGAAATAAAAAGCTTTTGTAACATTATACACTATACCATTCAAAAGCTTAGAGTCAGTCTAATTTTTATTTTATTTTTTGAAAAGAAATTATAGAAATGAACACTTATTTAGCAAGGATGCTTTACATTGATCAAAAGTGATGATAAAGACATTAATAATGTTACAAAAGATTTCTATTTCAGATAGCCTAAATGCGGTTCTTCTGAACTTTCTATTCATCAAAGAATCCTGAAAAAATGTACTCAACTGTTTTAAATATTGATAATAATAATTAAAAAAGGTTTCTTGAGCAGCAAATCAGAATATCAGAATGATCTCAGAAGGATAGTGTGGCTGGAGTAATGATGCTAAAAATTTAGCTTTGAAATTTAATGATTTGTTTATATACTACAAACACTTTTTTTTTTATCACATAATAAGGCAGAATAGTTTCTATACTGTAATAAATGCTATGTCAATTAGCACTGCATTGTTCATTTATTTTATTTATTACCTGAAGATGACTTGACAAACACAAATAAACCATATATTGTCGCAATCGTATGTTTAATGTCTTCATGTTTCCAAATGTTTCGGTTTTTTGTGAAAACAACTGTTTTGTCCATATTAGGAATTTCCTCGTACGACTTTCTGCGCGAGCGCACCCGCCGGCTTCGAGTATGAATGAAACATACACTGCACGGAGTGTTTAGCGCTCTGCGATGTTCATCTCGCCTTATTCTGGCTCCGAATAAAACATCAGATCATGCACAGACTATCCGGTCTCTT